CAACAACCTCAACAGTCAGGCGTCTTCCAAAGCCCTCCACATCAAACGCAGTATCAAAATACTCAATATTATCAAAGACCTAATCAAATGGCGGTAAATCAAGGTTACAACCAACAACAGCAGCAGCATGTTAATTATCCTATGCACAATCAGTACAATAATACAAATGTGTATGGTTCACACCCTGCTAATCAAAGTTATAATGCAGTGCAAAATTCGTATAGACAGTCACCCAAACAGATAGTAGAAAATCAATCCACTGTTTATGGAACCAATAACCAGCCCTTCCAAGTATATCAAAGTCCTCAAACATCACAAAATAGTTATCAAAATTCTAGTATGTATAGAACTCACACATCTCAAGAAGCTCTAGTCAAACATCATGAAACTGGGGCAGATTCAAATGTTGACAATAAATCGCAACCGAAAATAAAACCTAGCATATCGCAAAACAAAAGCCCAACAAATACTTTGAGAGATGTTAGACAAGACCAACCTACTCAACCTAATGCAAAAGTTGGACAAAACTCACCTAATATGGGATTCTCTAATCAGTTCCTAAACTTTATTTCAAATAGAAATGAACCTAAGGACAATGCTAATACTCCTAAATTTACCAATAGCCCTAGTATTTCTCAAAAAATGCATAAGAACTTGTATGTTTCGAGTCCTGAGCAAGCACAAATCCCACCTTCATCCGGTATGTCTGATTCTGACAGCAAGGATGGAATGACTGCACAAACTGCAACACCTATTCAATCTGCTAAAGTGACTCATACAATTGAAAAACAAAAAGATATATCAAAAAGACAATTAGATTTTGAAAATAGAACTGATTTCCAATCTGAAGACAGCAGAGATTCCATGGGTAAAGAAAGCAGGATCTCAATGGTTTATTCTAGACAATCTGATGGCTATGGTATGGATGTAGATAGTGAAAATTCAATGGAATGTGGGTCATTTAAATCTACCCATTCCATATCAATGGTTGAAACAAGTGATTTACCCAGACCTGCAGATGTTGATTTTCCAAAATTAATTGATCCTTTTAATAGAAAACTCTTAGACTCCTTATTAGAGTATGTCAAGTTCCCGAACAAAACACATGCAGATGGATATGTAGAAGTGAGATCTGTTCCAAAACTTCAAGTTGCCACCACAATCAGTATTGGAGGTAACAAATTCTCTATTGAGAAACAATTAGGAAAAGGAAATTATGGAGCTGTATTCCTCTGTCATGATCTACATGCTAATAGATCTGCTGCTGTAAAATATCAAAAACCCAGCAGACCTTGGGAATTCTACATTTGTCAGGAGATAAAGTCTAGAATAAAAGATCCATTTATGGTATGAAACAATGTTATAAATTTATGTGTATAGTCTTTCATTTAGTAGACTTGAAATGATAATTGAGGTTCTTTTGCAACAGCTTCCAGGATACATGGATATCACAACTGCATTTATTGGTGAAAACGCAAGCTTATTTGTATCAGAATATTCAAAATATGGGTCTTTATTAGATGTTGCCAATAAAATTAAAGCTGCCACAACAAAGTGCATAAATGAATTAATTGTTATATTATTAACATCTGAAATGCTATCAATCGTTCATTATTTACACAAAGCCCAGATAATTCATGCGGATATAAAACCTGACAACTTCTTGTTGATGAAAATGTAAGTAACTTGCTCTGAAATTAGTCATAAAAAAGAAAATTCTCACGATTTTTTTTATCTTAAAAATTCCAGACCGGCTCAGGAATGGAGAACTCCTTCATTACAACTAATAGATTTAGGTTGTGCAATAGATATGTCACTATTTCCGGAAGGTACTACATTTAAAGAGGTAAATATTTTTTTATTAAATATTTAAACATGAAAATTGACACTAAAGCTATTAAGACACCATCAAAAATCTTTCTATTATAGTTAATTGCAACCGAAGGCTTTACCTGTACGGAAATGAGAGAAGGCAAACCATGGACCTACCAAACAGATCTGTATTGCTTAGCTGGAACAATACATGTAATTTTGATGGGGAGCTACATGAAGGTAGCGAATCGTCTCGGACAATGGAACATAGATAAAAAACTACCTAGGTAAGAAATCTATATGTGAAATGATAATATTGTTTTTACTGGTAGTAGGAATACGTCATCTCGGATCCTCCCGATCCACTAACGGTGCTTCTAGGTACTTCAAGCACCGGTCACCGTTCTCGTCGAACCCGTCGCTTGCGACGAAGGGCTCGACGAGTAAATTAACTCTCAGACACAGCCCACTGAGTTTCTCGCCGGATCTTCTCAGTGGGTTGCGTTTCCGATCCGGTGGTAGATTCTGCGAAGCACGGCTCTTGCTAGGGTTCGTGTTAGCAACGTCATCAGGTTTGAGCCCCGTGAGCTCACCTACAAACGTTAGGGTTACGCTGAAATAGCCTCTCAAGGCTCTCAGCTAAGGAAGGAAAAAAAAAAAAAAAAAACTGGTAGTAGGACCTCTTGTTACCTCTGCACAGGTAGGTACCACCACCACAAAAAAAAATGTATTTGGCCATATTTTTTCTAATTCTATTTGGGAAGTATTTGGGAAGTAGACCCAAGGTGCTTGAATAATCACAATATGAAGTAGATGTGCAGCTGCCAGTGATAAGCTACGAACTTTGAGAAATAAATTTGATGTCTCAAATGTATAGTTATAACGATTCTCTTTTCAAAGAGATATTATCGATTGCGTCATTGCAGAAATTGGTTGGATTTTATTTTAAATTTTATATTAAGTAGCTATTTCCATGTACTGTGTTGTTTTGTTTTGGCCTCCACATTGTTTTTCCTGATCACTGACAAGTCGTAGGCGGTCCAACACGCGGAAACAACTGAGCAACTACTCAGTTGTTTCTGCGGTATTGGTGACCACTTTTGTTTTGGCCTCCACATTGTTTTTCCTGATCACTGACAAGTCGTAGGCGGTCCAACACGCGGAAACAACTGAGCAACTACTCAGTTGTTTCTGCGGTATTGGTGACCACTCATCATCAGATATCCTCCTCGGTCTTTCAAGGAAAAAAAACACCCAACCACCGTTATTATACGAACTTATAAACAATGCAGACTTAAAATTTATCACAAATTGTTCATCTAAATTCATATGTTGATGTAACTTAGTCAGATGTAGATTGATATGTTAATTATTACTAACCGTATTATTAATTCGCACTAACTTCGACTGCTTATAAATCATTGGACTACCTGTTTCCTAACTATATTGTTTATTTTCTTCTAGGTACATGAAGGTTAGTTTGTGGGACAAAATTTTTACAACCCTTCTAAATGTTCCTGACTGTAAAAACTTACCTGATTTAATGGATCTCAAAAATGAAGTCGATAGCGTATTACATGAAGTTGATAATCTTGGCTCCCAACTTCGTAATTTTGCAAATGTGCTTAAATCTAGGTAATTAAGGTAGGGCTCATACTGTATTTATTGCATTTAGAAATTATATGGCGTTTGTAAGAGTAACATGTCCTGAAGATGAATTAAGATACAAATTATATCTAAGTTTATGTGTTCCTGAAGTCTTTCATCAGGTTGACCTGGTTGTCTAATAAAAGCAATGAGTATTATATTAATATAATGACTGTCTTTTCGGGCACTTAACTATACAAGCCTTGTTGTTTAGCGAAATGTGATATTGTGAACTTATAGGTTTTTTTTCTGTTAAAATAAAACATGCTTAGATTAACTTGTTAGCGTAACTAATAAAATGTTGAAATATTAGTTAGGTTTCGTTTATTTTTGTACAACCTATAAAACTTGCACATTTCACATTTCTTGTTCGAGTTGTAAAGGAAATAAAAGCTACATGGTTGATAAAATGTGTTCTCATTTTTTACCTATTTTCAAACTCCAAATAATTAAATTAAAATTATTATAAATAATTATATTACATATTATATGAATTATTTAAAGCTTACGACCCAATCTAAAATTATGATAATTAAAGCAAGCTTACATAGTTTTACAATTACCCCCGTTCACCCTCTCTAACCAATCAATACCATGGACCAGAAAGGTCAAATATCTGGGAGTCATCCTGGATGCACCCCTGAAATTCTGCCCAGTCTCTCCGCCACTGCGCCGCGTTTATCCAGACCGGCAGACTTTTTTTGGGCCGGATCCGAACTTACGAACTTACGGAAGTTCGTAAGTAAGCTCCCTAGGGAGCGCGCGGGATATGTGAGACTTGACGATCTGCAAGTTGTTGGGAGCAGACCGCGGGCCCAAGGACTTTTAGGGCCCTACCGCACAAACGACTCCCCTGCACTCTTACACCCGACGTCCGATCTCCCTCCGGGTTCAGAACCCGGTCGACTCGGGGGTTTCCCGCGGGTCAACACTACAACCAGACACCGGCGCCACCTCGACGACGCCCTACCGACGGGACGTCAAGGCGATAGTCGACGACCAACGACGCCGGTCTCCGCGGTACGCGCGACCCTATCAGGCCGCTCGGGCGATGCCGCTAGTGTTCCGGGATACCCCGCTGAGCCAGAACGAACCTGCCGGGTTGGAATGCGATACACCACCGACCGGGTTGCTCTTCCACAGTATGTTCGGCGACGACAGCGACGACAATGCGGACCGCACCCGCAGCCGCCGACGCGTCGTCCCGTTCTCCTGGTGCCAGCACGCTAGTGACGGTAGCGTGCGGCGCAGCCTCAATCCCCTTAGGTGGCGACCTAAGGGGGTTGAGGGCGACCGTGACAATTACCGGGAGGAGACTGCCTCCTAATAGGGCCCGGAGCTGGACAAACGGCCTTCTTCAACTCCCGGGTCGGCGGCGGTGGCACGGCGCCGAGAGGGAAGAAGAGCTCTCCCTCTCCCGTTCCACCGCCTCCTTTTGCGAGGTGGTGGACTCGCAGAAGTCAAGCATAATCATTAATTAATTTAGTCTAACATGTAAGACTTAATGAGTAATTATAATAAAAAATAGAATAAACATTAATTCATTTATTGTCTTTATTTTTCAATTCTAGTCTTTGTTTCTTTCTTTCTTGATATTCATGAACATTATCAAATTTTCTTTTATACAAAACCTTAATTGATTCCAATTTATTACTACAAATTATATTTTTCTGTACATCTCCAAACATTACAATATTTTTATTAAATTCTATTAACATCTTTTCAGATAATGACATGTTATAAATGGTCAAAAAAGCACTTGAAATATCATACAGATAAAGATTTAAACCAAAAAATAGTAAAGATGATGGCAATTTTTCTACTTTTAACTTATATTCTAATTTATGGCTAAACCCGTGGAAATCATCTAAATTTAAATTGTAAATAAATACAATATTCAAACCATGAAGAGCAACAGCTATTAGAGTTACATGTTTATTAACTTTGGTTACTGCAAAAGCAACAATTGGCAAAGATTTGATTTCAACACCCTCTGAATCCATTTGTTTTATGAATACTTCTTTTAAATTTTCATCATCAATTATATCATTTGTATCAATTGTGTGGCATAATTGTCCTTTAACATAGTCCCACAGTTTTACAGTTCCATCACCTGAAGTACTTATCAAATAATTATAATTATTAGGTAAGATTTCAATATTTTTTACAAATTCTTTATGGCCTAAACAGTATGTTTCAATATTGTATGTGTTAGGATAGCAAGATATCCTAATTTTTTCATCTCTGTCGCATGTGATTATATATTTTTCATCAATAGTTTGCAATATATCCAAAAGAATGCTTAAATGCCCCAGCAATTTTATACCAGATTTTCCTTCATCTTCTAGATTATACAACAAAGCATCACCAGATTTATCTGCTACTAAAATGTGTTTGTTATTCTGAGTAAATCTTATTTTACTGGCACTTCTTGGTAGGATTATCTTTTTGAGAATTTCAAGACATGATGAAAACACTACCAAATTTTTCGATATTGATGTAATTACCGCTATGTATTTCTGATCACCCGAAACGGTAATATCTACGATGCAATCATTCTCGGTCTCTTCCGATGTTGATAATGTTATTATTTTATGTGTATGATAATCATAATAATCTAGAAGTAAATTTCTTGCGGCAACTATAAAGTTATCGTTTACTGAAAAACAAGTCATAATTTTATTATAACTCCTATGTACTTTATTACTTTACTTACTTTTAATAGCAAACTTTAGCAAAGTAAGATTTTTAGGCTAAAAAACTTTTTTTAATTTATTAATTTTTAGATCGACATAGGGAACATAGTTCATACTTCCTACTTCGTAATAAATGTCAAAGCCATGTCTGTTGTATGAAAAATTACATGAAACGGGATGAAAGTTGAAATATTATTGATTTTGGAAATAAAATTACCTAATAAAGAGAGATATAATATGACAATATCATAGGTATAGGATGTGATAAAATGAAAAACCTTTCAGTAAATGTTGGTTGTTTATTGAAAGGACTTTTTGGAAGCCACGTTCAGCCATTTTGATACATTTGTTAATAATTATATTCACAGGTACTAATAAAGTTAATTATGATTAAGGTACCATTATTAGACACTTACAGCTGAAAAAACACAAAATCACAACATAAAACAAATTACCTTCGTTATCGTGCCAAAATTTACTTGATATTTGTTTTTTTTTTATGTTTGGAAATTTTATGTTTGGAAAATAAGTGCGTTGCCATTTTCGCGTTCCTAAAAATTTTCAATTATCAAATATCTACATTTTCTGTTATAGGAAAAATGATATGCTATAAGCTAAATGATTAATCATATGAAATGAAATAAGATGCAGTTGATTAATATGAGACTTCAGTCAATTAGGATAAAATTAGATTAAACGAGATGAGGTGGGATGAAATAAATTCGCAGTAAAATGCTGGTTATTTACCGAGACTTTTCCAGTGAACTTTTTGAAGCCACATTTATGCACTTTCACAGATACTAAATAGATAATAAATCTGAAAAAACCTAAACCACGACAAAATTTAACTATTTATACAGCTTGGTGCCTCACGCTCCCGCCAAAAAGCTCGGAAGTAGATTTGATTAAGATTTTCTTATGCTGTACATTGTCAATGTCACTGTGGTGTCATTCCCAGTGAAGGGCATAGACCATAGACCTATATAGTATAGACCCATAGATTATACACTTTCAGTGGAGTATGTACATACATAATTAAATAAACTAGATAATAAATTTAAACACTTAATATAATGTAGATGTATTACAGTGATTGTGCCTATTAGCTGAGAAAAATTGGTGTATTATTGTGTGATTCCGTTGATGGTATTAGTTTATAAAACAATTTAGCGTTACACAAACGAACATGGCACTCAGGTTGCAAATCGAAAAGAAGAAAGCTCAAGAAGAAATGCGTCGTTTGATGGCAGAAAGGAAGAAGAAGGATGTCAAACGAGTAAAGTTAGATCATCCTCTCGCAAGATATAATAATGTGGGACAACTCACATGTTTGCTTTGCACTTCCGTCGTGAGATCGGAAAATGTTTGGCAAGTACATCTCAATAGTAAACAACATCGAGAAAATATTGAAAATGCTAAGAAACTAAAGGAACTGACGAATAATTTCACTGTAGTCAACAAAGTTAAACACAAGAGTTCCAGTCCTCCGAAAGATGCACCTCCCGAAAAAAAGATAAAAGGAATATTAAAAAATGTAGGCACCGTGCCAGTGATAACAAAACCCAAAAATGATGTCCCAAGTGTGGTAGCATTTCACAATGAAGAAATTAAAAGAACTCCACTTAATCCTGTTGTAATAACAGAAAAAGGTTAGTCCTAAATGATTTAACTAGAGTACTTGAAATCTCATAATGAAAAAATTCTGTTGTATTACATTTTAAAAATAGTTCTGAGTTTTGATTTGTTTAGCTTGATTATACATAGATAATTATGAAATACAACAAACTTTCCATATGTTTTTCAACCACTATTCTCATGTTAAACTAACAACTAGTTTAATCTTAAATAGATTTGTTTACCAAGCATATTCTTTAAAGTGCTATATTCTTGAAAATAGAATGATTTTGAGGAATTCCCTAAAATTATTCTATCTATTTGTTCATTTCATTCTGTGAATCTAGACTGAGAGGCTGTAGGAGTTTGAACTTTTCCTGAGATAAATATTAAATGAATTTATCAAAACTATGATTTCTTCAATTTTTAACTATCAATAACAATTAAAGTGACAAATAATTTTCCACTTTAAACAAAGGTATTTAAAATGAAACTTATCCACAACTTTTTCTACCCCTTTTTTCAGTGCTTACATTTTGTTTTTAAGCTCTACTTACCTATAAACTATTTTTATACAAAAAACTACTTTTGATACCTAAGTTTATCATAAAAAATTAATGAAACAGGTTGATATCAGAATGACAACTTGCTTAGTCAATGGTATATTAAAAGTGACTAGAATTGGTTACATTGTTAAATGAATTTGTATTGAGCGACAACTGAAAGGGAAAAAGGTCTTAAGGTGAACTTCTGAACAAAAATACTGCATAGAGTAAATTTTTTATGTCTTTTTTATTGCTCATCTGGTGTTAAGTCATTACCAGAGCCCATAGACATCTACAATATAAATAAGACCCAGCCCCCTAGAGACCTGAGTTATAAGGCCTTAGTACCACAGTTGTCAAATCAAATAATTACTGCTTTACTAAGCAGTAATTATCTTGTGAGTCACAAGATGTCCTACTACCAGTAATTATACAAATCATAATTTTGTCTGTTTTATTTTTATTACACCGTGTTATTGTTTCACTATGAAAGTCAATCATGAACTTTTGCTAAGTATGTATTTCATTATATACCTTCTTCTCCTGTTTGATTTTGGCTCGCGCGGCTTGCGCCTTTCGTTATATACCTGCATGTGGGATTCAAACTCTGGGACACTGGCATAATTTTATACAAATGCACATGTGTATAAAATGATGCTTATACATTTTATACTAATGCAAATGCCGTACCCTGCAGGCCATATCTTCGAATTTGCGATTCTGATGATTTGACTGTATAAGTAAGGCTGTATAATCTAGTTGATTTTAAAATCTTTTCTCAGCTTGACTTTATATAACCTCCTTGAGGTAGTATTCTCTGTTTTTTTTTTCTTTCATATTTATAGAAAAGCAGGTTCTCAATTTGAGGATTTTTTTTCGGGGCAGGTTATTTTCTCACCATTTTTGCCCACTAAGTTTCTCGCTGGATCTTCTCAATGGGTCGCAATTCCGATCCAATGGTAGATTCAATGAAGTACTGCTCTTGCTAGGGCTGGTGTCAGCAAATTCTCTCAGGGTTAGTGCGTAAGCTCACCTACCCGTTCGGGAATAGCTGGAATAGCCTGTTAGAGTATCAGCGAACAGAAAAAACTATTTTTGTTTCTCCTTAGTTTTATTGAGAAAATAACAAATTTAATATTTACTCACAAAGCTACCATACCATCACCTGATGGTATTACACACCTATTCTTTTTTTTTTTTTTTATTGCTTAGATGGGTGGACGAGCTCACAGCCCACCTGATGTTAAGTGGTTACTGGAGCCCATAGACATCCACAACGTAAATGCGCCACCCACCTTGAGATACAAGTTCTAAGGTCTCAAGTATAGTAACGACGGGTGCCCCACCCTTCAAACCGAAACGCATTACTGCTTCACGGCAGAAATAGGCAGGGTGGTGGTACCCACCCGCGCGGTCTCACAAGAGGTCCTACCACCAGTATTCCTGATGAGAAGCACAATTTTTTCCAGTTTATAAGATTGAGGCAGCTATCACAATTGAGGCTTAGTGAGCTTGTTCACCTGCTTATACAATTTAAAAAAGTAGAATATGATATTTTAAATGTCAGTCAAAATTGTCTAATTGTATGATAAAAATGTACTATGGATGAACTCATCAGCTGTAGTGAATAGTAGTAGGTAGAATGTAAAAACAGGGCAGTATCTTGACCAAGTTTTTTTTTCCCTACCTAAGCTGATAGCCTTGAGAGGCTATATCAGTGTAACCTTAACTAGTAGGTGAGCTCACGGGGCTCAAACCTGACGACGTTGCTAACACGAACCCTAGCATGAGCCATGCTTCGCAGAATCTACCACTGGATCGGACACGCGACCCACTGAAAAGATCCAGCGAGAAACTCAGTGGGCTGTGTCTGAGGGTTAATTTACTCGTCGAGCCCTTCGTCGCAAGCGACGGTTTCGATGAGAACGATGACCAGTGCTTGAGGTACCTAAAAGCACTTAGTGGATCGGGAGGATCCGAAATGACGTGTTTGGGGCGACGTCGACTGCTTTCCATTCTGTCCGCAGGATCGGGAATGTAGTTACCGACGGCCACGATGCGAGGGTTCTCGTGTCGTGCCGCTTTATCGAAGTGGCGCATTGACGCCGACTGTAGATACTTACTGATGGACTCTTAAGTCCAGGTCGTTATGGAAGTCAACGTTCCTGACGAACCACGGAGCTTCGACGCCTATCCTGCAAAAACGGGATTGAATGATTTGGAATGATTTTAAGTTAATGCGGGCCGCGTGAGCAAACACTACACTTGCATAGGTCGTGACAGGGCGTATGCAAGTTTTGTAGAGTGTCACCTTATTTCTAAGGGACATTTTACTTCGCCTGCATATCATTGGGTACTTCTCTGTAGTGCAAACCACAGACATAAGTCTTCTCTTTAGAAATATAATTTCTAAAAATGATTCTCAGAGTGAGATGATAGCCAACAGTATATCATAGTATTATGTTTCAGTTAATGAACCTGTACAGACTACAGATCAAAAAGAAAAAGAGGAACCTGCAAGTGATGTACCAATACCAGAAGGTTTTTTTGATGACCCAGTTTTAGATGCAAAGGTAACAGATATTAGATGTTATAAAATATCAACTAACATATTACTTCATAACTCTTCTGCTTTTTAAACACAGCACATAATTTAGTTAATTTGAGTAAAAAACATTACATATTATACATTATTAATATATACATACATGATAATTTCATTAAACCATTATTTCACAATCACTATCCTTATAAAAACTAAACATTACTGGTCATATAATTCTTCAAAAGCATCATGTATAAATTCTATCATATCAGTAGCTAACATACTTCGACCTTTTAATTTAAAAGCCTTTTCATTGCACTTTCTTACTAAAATACATGCAGCATAACAAGACAAAGAAGCTGCTAACATTTTATTATTAGATATATCTGGTATTTTAATTTTATCAATATTAGCGAGAGTCCAATGCATGAATGTAGCTATAGTTCCAGATAATAAATCACCCTGTCCTCCACACCTCCGTCCAGATCCCCCAGTCTCCAATGACCAAGTGAACTCAGGAAATGGACTTATTAATTCATCATTGGGCCCTTTTTTTAATATAGTAACATTTTTCCCCATTGTCTGTACATCTATTTTATTACTTAGTCGTTCAAATTCTATTTTGTTAGGGGTTAATATTACTGGTGAATCAAAATCTTTAATTAAGTTTGGTTTTTCTGTTATTAAAAACAAACCATCAGCATCAATGATAATGGGTATTTTCTTTTGCTTGATGACTTCTATTAATTTTGCTATTATATCAAATGTTTGCCAATCTCTTCCTAATCCAGGGCCAATAACTATAGAATGGAGTCTGTCAAACCATGGTAATATTTCCTCAACAGCATCTTGCTTATCTAGTAGTGGATGCACTATTAATTCTGGGCTATATGATTTAATTACTGCAGAAGCAACTGAAGAACAAAATATATGTGCCAAGTCTGCACCTACCTGCAATTTTAACAAATATGTTCTTTATTATCAATATTCGTTTTAAATTACACTGGATGTTTTCATATTCAGAGTAACACATAACTTTTGGTTGAGTATCATGATTAATGAATAATTTCTTTTCCTAGAATGTGGATGTATTTATGTTTATGAAATTTTGTTTATTGTAAATATGAGTCTTACCTAACAAAAACGGAATACTGAATAATTACTAACTTTGAGTGAGCTAATCCCCGCAAAATAAGGTGCACCAGTATATTCTAAAGAACCACCAATTACCCCTATTCTTCCGGCTTGCCCTTTATGACTACTTTTATCCAGAGGTGGAATGCATATTTTAATAAGGTTTTTCATACTTGTAGGATCCATGTTGTATCTATGTCTAATAAGAGAAAAACTTTTCAACAAAATTAAATTTGTTTTCATTGAAAGATACTGCTTTATTTTTAAACTTGTGAAAGAATCATATGAAACGTATGCCACTTTCGTCAAAGTTAACAAACTATCATTTTATTAAGTTAAACCTCGTAAAATACTGTAGTATAGTACATAGAAATCGCAAAAAAAACCGTAATAACATTATCAAATTACCATGACACATTGAGAATGTTTTTTTAAGGGATTTTATGACCTGGTAACTAAGACCTTTAGGTCAAGTCTTATTTTAATTTTAATGAAAACTTTTTTTATATGAAAAATAATATATGGGATGAAATATAATCTTAGTAAAATGGTGGTCATTTACTGAGAATTTTTCAGTGGACTTTATGGAAGATCGTCGTGGCCTAAAGGATAAGACGTCCGGTGCATTCGTGTTGAGCGATGCACCGGTGTTCGAATATCAGGTCAGTACCATTTTTTCTAATGAAATACGTACTCAACAAATGTTCACGATTTACTTCTACGGTGAAGGAACAACATAGTGTAATAAAAATCAAACCCGCAAAATTATAATTTGCGTAATTACCGGTAGTAGGGTGAGTCCGCACGGGTAGGTACCACCACCCTGTCTATTTCTGCCGTGAAGCAGTAATGCGTTTCGGTTTGAAGGGTGGGGCAGCCGTTGTAACTATACTGAGACCTTAGAACTTATATCTTAAGGTGGGTGGCGGATTTACGTTGCAGGTGTCTATGGGCTCCAGTAACCACTAAACACCAGGTGGGCTGTGAGCTCGTGCACCCATACAAGCGATAAAAAAAAGATACCGATACAAATTTCATTGCTTTCACGCTACGTTACGATGATGAACGGCACCGACATAATTGTATATGGGAACAGTTTATTGATCCATATGGGTTTCAAATACTTGCAGTACTAAACTGAATTGATTTTGTTTGTATTTTAATGAGAAAAAATATTTATCACTAAATATAATCTAAGTCACACTCGATAATAAGCCAGGTAGGTCCCACTTATTTCTGCGGTGAATCGGTTATGCGCTCCAGTTCGAACGATTTCTCAATGAAATTGAGATTTCTACATCATATCTTAATGTGGATGACGCCATACACGTTGTGATATCTATGCTAAACTCCAACACAAAGTGTGATGTTCGCTGCTTGTTCGCTCGTCTACGTAAGAGAAAATTCGTTATGCTTATTTTGAAAATTGTTTATTTTATTTTAGGTTCGTAAGATTGAATATAAAGATCCAATTGAAGAGGAATGGGAAAAATTCAGAAAAGAAATAAAAGAAGAAACTAGTGCATCAGCTGAAATTATAGCAGGTGAACAAGAAGAAGCCACTGCAGAGCGACAAATAGAAGAAATCGACGAACAAATTAGAAAATGGTCCCGGTACGATAAAAACAACTCTGAAATTTTACTTTTAAATACCTAAAATTTTATTAAATTAAATAATTTTAAATTATTCAACATAGTAATGAACTTAATTTCCTTTTTTTTTACAGAGTCCTGGATTTGGAATTACAAAAAGAAGAGACGAAAAAGAAAATACACGAAATGGACCAAATGAGCTTAGACGAAAATTGTGAATCAGAAAACGAAGATGATATAGACGAATTTTTAGATTGGAGGTCTAAAAAATCGTTTACGTAACAAAAAGTTTTTTCTGTTGATATGTGCTATTAAAATACTTTACTATAATGAGCTACATAAAAGTTCTTTTATTACAATTTACCCTAATCTTTATCTAAATTATTTTATATTTTGATATTTTTTTATTTTTATTGCTTAGATGGGTGGATGAGCTCACAGCCCACCTGGTGTTAAGTGGTTACTGGAGCCCATAGATATCTATAACCTAAATGCGCCACCCACCTTGAGATATTAGTTCTAAGATCTCAGTATAGTTAGTGTTAGTTTCAGAAAGTAAGATCACCCAAAACCAGTTCGGGTTCATGCCTGGTCGCGGGACAACGGACGCCATATTTGTATTCCGCCAAGTGTGCGAAAAATACCATGACGTGCACAGGAATCTGCCTAGGGTGTTCGTTGATCTGGAAAAAGCGTACGGCCTTTTTTTTCCTACCTAAGCTGGTAGTCTTGAGAGGCTATTCCAGCGTAACCTTAACTAGTAGGTGAGCTCACGGGGCTCAAACCTGATGACGTTCCTAAAACGAACCCTAGCAAGAGCCGTGCTTCGTAGAATCTACCACCGGATCGGAAACGCGACCCACTGAGAAGATCCGGCGAGAAACCCAGTGGGCTGTGTCTGAGGGTTAATTTACTCGTCAAGCCCTTCGTCGAAAGTGACGGGTTCGACGAGAACGGTGACCTGTGCTTGAAGTACCTAAAATCACCGTTAGTGGATCGGGAGGATCCGAAATGACGTGTTTTGGGCGACGTCGACTGCTTTCCATTCTTTCCGCAGGATTGGGGATGTAGTTACCGGCGGCCACGATGAGAGGGTTCTCGTGTCGTGCCGCTTTACCGAAGTGGCGCATCGACGCCTAATGACTTAAAAGTCTTAGTTACCAGATCAGAAAATCCCTTAAAAAAATAATACCCAAATAAACACACACATTTAGAGACAGGCGACTTGCAGTTTTTGTCTTGTAAACATAAATGAAAAGTACCGTGTGTACCTCAAGTTCTCATTAAATAAAAAATTTAATATTGGAAGCACAAACATAAACCAAAGTATATTTGAAAATTTAATCTTTTTTTAGGAAACATATTATTAACTACTTTATTTGGGAAACTCGTTTCTTGATTATAAAAATAGTAAATAGTCAATTACTGAAAAAATCATGGATGCTGAAGTTGCAGAACAGCTTAGAGATCTAATTACTAGATTACAAACTGATGAAGACATACCAAGTGCTATGAATCAGCTTAAAACGTTATTAGTTTCCGCACCAACTGAAATTTCTGAAACTATCCTAGAGGTAGGATTATCCAAAATACTCCAATGCTTCAACATTTTTGATAGGTATGTAAATTTCAGTTGGGATAGTATATCCTTTATAAATTGTTATTACGCCATTATTCTCATTAACCGAGAAGGGTAGACGAGGTATTGCTCGCCCTATATTATAAAGGAATTAATGGAGCCACCTTAACCTTAACTTGAATGACTTCGCTAAAATGCCTCATGAGGTGTATTACTTAGCAGAGCGCAATAGCGCTAATCCCACTTTCTGTGACCGCCACTAACTATTCTCGAGATTTGGTTCATACACAAGCTAGCCACCGTCAACGCTCTAGACACGTCCTAATGGATCTACGCGATCCACTCTCAAGCACTTCGAGAACCTACTCATAGCTGCATCCAAACAACAGGTCATCATAGTCATTGAATTGGTTGAAGAGTTCAATGTGAAACCTAGCCAATACAATCGGCCCAAAAGTTTTGCTAAATCTTCTCAATGGGTTCCAATTCTAGTTGTAAATACCTTTATGAAGCAGCTGTTCTTAGGTTTTTTTGGAGGTTTTTGGGCGGCTAATAGCAAATCCCACACCTCTTGGCTGAACCATACTCACCCATCTATTCTAGTGGAGATGAAAGGCCACTAGCAATCCTTTCATCTCTTGAGACACAAATTTAACCTCTCAATTGATTGTATAATAGCTGCCCCATCATTCAAACTGAAGCCCATTATTGTTCAGTGAGAGAAATAGGCAGGATGGTAGTGAGAGTTTACAATATCCCCAACCACCAAACAAATTGGACAAATTTGTGAATATTAGAGAGTTCATTTATTCATTATTTTTCAGACACCTAGTTGATTTAATATGTGAAGTGCTCACACTGTGTTTTGAAAAATTTTCACCTGGAGAAGTGATTAAGAGTTTTACAGGTAACTTCATGTATTTGCTACGACATGAAAATGCACATGTTCGTAGACTTGCTGTAGATGAGGTAAGTGTTACTTTCTAAAGATGTATTGGTATGATAAAGCATTCATAAAACTGTATACTTTATTTATACAGATTGCTAAAGCAGTGATATCAAGCTCCAATGCCCTCCCAATACCACAGTATATTGATGTGTATGTAGCTGTTGGTCAGCTTGTTGGTGATAATGATATAGGCGTTGCTAACAAAGCTATATTGATTACATCAAATTTGCCAGAAGAGGCTTATACAAAAGTTTTGGAAGAAATGAAAATTCTTTTACAATATTCTTCTAGTAGCAAATGTAATGTTTTTGAGGTAAACCATGTCTTTTAAATTTTTAGTTGTTCTCTAAACTTTTATAAAATTACTAGGTTTAATATTGAATTCATAAATTTATCATACTAAGAATATTATGTTATTCCAATTAAATCATATTAAAAATTAATTTACAGGTGATAATTAACATTTCCATTAAATCTTATGATTTGTTCAAAATTTGTCTTGAGCTGGGTTACATAGATATCATGGTGCAAGAAATCCAATCTCTTGATGTACTGTACCAATTAAATATTTTGGAACTCATGTCAACCTTGGCAATCAAACCATACGGTATTAATTACCTACTCAATAGTGGAGCAATGGATAAATTGGTAACAGTTGTTATTGACTTGAAAACTTCACCTGTTGGTGGAATATTGATACCAGGTAATAATGATATAATATTAAAATAAGAAGACTATTGATAATATGGTATCAGCTAATGCTAACTACTGCTATTCCAATGTCAATTTGGCAACAATATACCACCTTACAACAAGTAGTCTCTGTTTTATGTAGACACTTTTGTCTTCTTTCTTAAAACAGGCATTACTCAAGTGATATCAGATATGTTGTTAGTATGAAACACTGTATTATTGTAATCCAGTGAAAATTGGTGGACACTCCTGTGGGTTGAAATACCCCATTAATTTCTATCACAATCACGTCCATGCAGGACCTGTTCAGAAGACTGTAATGCTCTCAAAATATCCCCGTCCTGTGGACAGAATGGAAAGCAGTCGACGTTGCCCCAAACACGTCATTTGGGATCCTCCCGATCCACTAATGGTGCTTCTAAGTACCTCAAGCACTGGTCTTCGTCCTCGTCAAACCCGTCGCTTGCGACGAAGGGCTCGACGAGTAAATTTACCCTCAGACACAGTCCACTGAGTTTTTCGCCGGATCTTCTCAGTGGGTCGCGTTTCCGATCCGGTGCTAGATTCTGCGAAGCACGGCTCTTGCTAGGGTTCGTTTTAGGAACGTCGTCAGGTTTGAGCCCCGTGAGCTCACCTACTGGTTAAGGCGACGCTGATATAGCCCCTCAAGGCTACCAGCTTAGGTAGGAAAAAAAAAGCTCTCAAAAATGTTAACATTATGACTCATTGTCTATCAACTAGAATAAATAAATTATAAACAATTTCAGCAGCAGTTTAATGCACGCCTATTGTTTAATAGAGGCCATATGCACCATATAACTGCAGTTACTCATTTGGGCGTTGGCACTAACTTTCTCAATTGTAATAGTAAACCAGCTATCGCATTGTGCTCAAGCTGGGACTTATTGCTTTGTGGTAGACATAAGTAGGGTACTGGTAACCATGGGCTTGCTACCTACCCTACTTCCATTACTTTAGATAGGAAGTAAAATTGATATTTGAGGAAAATATTTCCAGGTGGATGAATAGAAAATAGTAGACAGTTGTGATGAGTCAGACAATTGTGATTAATCACTGTTTTACAAGCATTAGCTATGTATGTATATAATTATTAATAGGTATAAATAGACAAAGAAGCACAGTAGCAAACGTAACAATGATTTTAAGATAGCCATGAAGGACTTTCAAGTCTTCTGGCATGTTAGTAGTCAACTTCAGTCAGTAGTGTACTTTTATATAAATGACACACTGGCTGGTGAAAATTAAGTCATAACTCGCAAAGATTAAGATTTCGTTTTTACTGATGACAGGCAGGGCGTCTTGTGGGATTAAATAGATACTACCACCATTCTTCGAGAAGTAACACGTTCTGGTTTTTTTCTTCAAAAAAGCGACACGTTTACCCTTTTATCATAGCTGGCTCAAATGACATAGGTACTCGACCCAGACGACGGGGCAACGATCAGCCGCCGTCGCCTTATACAAGCTATTTCGGATCCTCCCGATCCATTCTCGGTCTTTTTAGACATTGCAAGCACCAGTCACCATTCTCGTCGAACTCGTTCGATGCGACGAAGAGTTCGACGCGCAACCGAACGCTCAGATACACACTAAGTTTCTCGCCATATCTTCTCAGTGGGTCGTGGTTCTGATCCGGTTTTTGATTCAGCAAAGCACTGGTCTTGTAAAGGCAGATGTTAGCAAATCTTCTCAGGCTGATCTTCCTGAGCTGGTTTGAAGGGAGGGACAAGCGTTATGCAATTCACCGTGAGGTCGTTCACTTGTCTTCGTGATTTAAATTCATGTCCTACCCATTAGGTCATATCTTATTAAGACTTTAATATAATATTTTCCATAGGGTTTCCCGCACAGGTTCTTCGCTTTGTGCGTCAACAATCTTCAACGTCAATTCGTTTTTCCTTTACCAATCTACTATCGTAAATAATACCTTTCATTGATATCGTCTTATGCGCACGTCTTCTTACGTTGATTTTTAATTACTATCGTAGGAAGGCGAGCCTACGGCTTACTTCATGTTGAGTGGTTGCGGTTGCTTACGGCGCAGCAAGTTTAAGGAGTATCAGTGCAACCAACCCTATTAGTAGATTCTTAGTCGTAATTTTCAAGTGCTCAGTGACAGAATAATTTGGATAGTAAAGCCAAGGTGGCATCTAAACTTACTATTTAGCACTGAATTATTCATGAAAATTGTTATATACTTAACGGCCAAATTTCTATTACTTAAACTTTAAAAAAAAACGACTGTTGTTGAAGCCGACTTTTTTACCCATAAAACTTTTGTAGTTGGGGGTTTTAAATTAAAATTATTCTTGTGCCGCCTGTGCACGCTCGTCTCGTTGTCTCAGGTGCCTCTCGTCCGCTCTCGTCGCGTAAAGGCTCGACACGAGACCACACCTTTTTTCCCTTCCTATGCTGATAGGCTTGAGAGGCTATTTCAGCTTTTCCTTGATGTGTAGGTCAGCTCAAGGGGCTCAAACCGGGAGTGTTGCTAACACTGGCCCTAGAAACAGCAGTGCTTCGCAGAATCTACTACCGGATCGGAAACGCGACCCACTGAGAAGATCCGGCGAGAAACTCAGTGGGCTGTGTCTATGGGTTAATTCGCTCGTCGAGCCCTTCGTCGCAAGCGACGGGTTTAGCGAGGACGGTGACCGGTGCTTGAGGTACCTACAGGCACCCACGCGTACTCATAAGAGGTCCTACCACCAGTAATTACGCAAATTATAATTCTGCGGGTTTCACTTTTATTACACGATGTTATTCCTTCATCGTGAACATTTGTTGAGTACGTAATTCATTAGAAAGATTGGTACCCGCCTGGGATTCGAACACAGGTGAATCGCTCAACACGAATGCACCGGACGTCTTACCCTTTAGGCCACGACGACTTCAAACACAAGTTCAATTGGTACACACTCGTGTATCAATTGAACTTCGGATGCCCGTTGCGATAGATCTAGAAGAAACCGTTGGCGGACGGCTAAACGAACGAGTGTACAGGCGCGCTCTCGTTTTCATCGAGAGACTCCCCGAGACCCTTTGGTAGTTTTCCAATTACAGCATTAAAGCGCATTATGCGGCATAATGCTCAACGTTGAATGTTCCAACTACAGCAACGCTTCGCACAATCGAGCACTCTCAAAAGTACTGCTCTCGCGTGATACTCGCAATCGATACCGACTCAGTGACAGAAAATGGACACGTGTTTTTTCTTTAAGTTGGCATTGATCGAAATTTTGTTTATGTTATCATTAGTAATATTATTTAATGTTGAAAAAATTTGTAAGGCTTTCGTTTCGTCGTAGTTTCTTAGTAATAATCAATGTTAATGAAAACAGCTAACTTAGCGCACTCTGCTGATGCATTTGAAAACTAATTCACGTTCCAATTAAGCTTCAGCATAATTCGGCATTGTGCGCCACTGAGTCGCATTATGCTCTGTAATTGGAAAACCACCTTTGACTCGAGCGCAAAAACCGACAAGCTTGTGAAAGCGAACGAGAGCCACGAGACGAGACAAGGGTGCCATGTACCCACTCGTCCTCGGCCTTAGTCGTGGCGTCTCGACGAGCGCGTAGAACCGGCTTAATAGAGTAAACTTAAACAAATCCCCAAAAAGATTTTGATGGAAATAACTTTTTTCATTCGTACTTCAATAAATATATGCTTAACGTAATATCCCGATGGCATGCTGTTAATTCTGAAAATTGTATTTTGAACAGGTTACATGAAATTATTTGGATGTATTGCTCATTATTTTCCTAAGGAGATTATTGAAAAATATCCGACATTGTTAAATTGTCTTTTTGGATTATTTGAATCTGAAAAACAAGCAGTACTACCAGTCGCTTTGGACACGTTTGGTTTTGTGGGCTCTACTACTGAAGGAAAATTATCTCTAGTGGCCTCAGGTTTGGATTTCATTGATTATGATATTTTTTCTATTGGGAACAAATAATTTATTTTACTTTATTAACTTTCAGGGGGTAAATTTACAGAAACTATGATGAAGGTAAATCTCTTAATAAAAAACAGTTCAAGTGATATTAAGATTCGTGCTTTAAATTGCCTTACTAACTTAATAAGTATCGAAAAGGACACCAACACGGCCAATTCTAAGCCTGTTGATCATAGAGTAACTCTAATGACGAGGGAGTGGTTCAGAGGCTTAAGTGAACAGCCATCTTCAATGGATTTATTGTTTGACATATGCAAAAACCCATTTCCTGACATTAGACTAGCAGCCTTTGGCTTACTTGATGCTGTAAGTCAGCACCAGTGGGGACACGAACTAATCGCAAGAACTGCAGGTAAATATTGACATTACATGAGTATATTTTCTAAATTATTTGTAACATAAATAGTTGATTTTTGCTCCTACTTTTTAATCATTAATAATATTAATAATTAAAAAAATAGTTTTAATAAGTTTTGTGTATGTTATTGTAATTAACGTAAATAGACGAACTCACGAACAACTTGCCAAGTGTTACTGGAGCTCATAGACATATTGTTTGCTCCAATCTTGAGACCTAAGGCAGAAGTTGCAATTGTATTGTATAAAAACTGACTGGTTGCATCCTTTAAAACAAAACGCATGACCAAGCTGAAATAACCAAAATAAATAAATTTCCTGAGGCTTATAATATGCCCCAATCGCCAGTAAAATGTAAGTACCCAGATTGTTAAGAGAACTAGGGCATTTTATATACATATTAAGATATAGGTACTTGCAAGTTTTTAATTCATGTTAACAATTTTATTTTAGGCTTCATTGAATACTTACTAGACCGTTCTGTAGATTTTACAAAAGAATGTAAAGAGGCAAAATACGACATCATTAAAAGATTATCAAACTCTGAAGTGTTTGATTCAAATATAACTTCCAGGCTACAGGCTTATGTAGAGGAAGGACCATTCTATTGTAACAGAATGTTGGAAGTGGCTATGGAAGATGCTGATTAGGAGAAAACGAAACATTGTTTAAAATGTCAATATTTAATCCAGTAATTGAATATTTTTAAATTATTCACTTTATATAAATCTCATTAACAGTGATTTAACATTGTTTCAATACAGAATGTTCAATTTAATATAAAAAAGGAAAATGAAAAAAAAAAACACTCCTGAAATAAACTGATCTGGATTCAAAATGAACTTATTGTTTTATTTCCTTCTTTTATTTTTAGTTGTTGCCTCCGTTTTCGAAGCAGCCTTCCTTTTGGTGCCCTTAGGTTTATTGCTACCACCATACTTAGTTGCCAAGTTATCTATAAACGAATCTAGCTGTTGACCTCTAGATTGTTGTTTCTGTCTGATCATTAACTCTAAACTATTGGGTCCTGTGAAAAATGTTCGTGTTTAATTTTGTTGTGGTCCAAGATCAACAAGCTTAGGCCCACCTGATGATAAGCGTTTAATCATGGCTATGAGCAATGTCAGGAACATAAGCTGCTCAAGATTTAAATTTTATTTGTAGAAAGATTTTTTTATATGTATGAAGCCTTCCTACTCAAATGCAAAATAGTAGCAGTTCTGATAAGTTGTGATATAAATCAATCTGTCAACTCCCATCAACTTCATTCTTTTGTTAGCAATTTAAGATCAATGAGTTTTATACCTGATGTCATTCCTAATTCCTGCTTCAATTCTTCAGCTTCTTTCGCCTCACGGTTTTCTTTTGCAATTCGTTTTTGTTTCTTTTTAGCTGGTTCATGTGTAAATATTTTATATGCAGGAATTTCACCATCTTTTATCATTTTCTGAAATGAAATGCTAGATATCTGATGAGAGTTTCAAAAATAGCAAAGTAAATTAAAGCTCAAATTGCTGTTAGCTGCAAAATGTTGCTGTTCGTTGAAAATATTCAGTATACTCCAATGATTCAAGAATTAGGGTTAATTAATAGTCAACACTAAAGCATGAATACAGTGAGGTCTAAAATTACAAAACCATCACTGTAACACCCCAAGAGTTTGATAAAAATGCCAATCACTTATAATGTGAAATGTTTTCGTTCACTTGGTAATTTTTTTTTTGTATTAGATGGTTTTAATTGATGTTAAAAGATAACCAGAACAAAGTGAATATGATCTGCATACAACCTGAGGTTAAAGTATTGGTTAATTTGGTCTAAAGATGTATCAAGCATTGTGACTATTCCAGTATTCTAATGCTGCAAGGACTATTCTTCAAAGAAAATGTGTATTAACAAAAAAACCATGTATTAAAAATATATAACTAAGTATATTTTACATAATTAATAATGGTAGGGTAAGCCCATATACCCACAAGAGAAGCTATCATCATCCCGTCTATATTTTCCATGTGGCAGCACTCTAGTATTCATATTATAATGTCTATATGCTCTGGTAATCACTTAATCCAGGTACATGAACGCAGCTCATTCACTCTTGTAAGCCTGTAACCTAATCAGAAGTTATCTTAACTTACAACACTCGAGTTTAATTATATTTTAGAATGCTAATATGTTCATGTTCAGTCATTTACCAGTTGCTGTAATGAATGAAGTGTAGTTAATAAATTTGTATTATAATTATAATAGAACCAACAAATTTTTTAACTTTCATACTTACTATGTGTGTTAACACATGACTATAGTTACGAAACTAATGTTCAGATGGTTATGTAATAAAAAATATACAAGTATTGGTTGATTGAAAGTTTTTCTACTTTATCACTTACATTGAGGATTTCCCTGATTCTCGGTTCATGTTCAGTTCTAGCAAATTGAACATGATCTGTAATGTAGTCCATGTCACCTTTACCAGTTAGATAGGCTTGTTTTAGATCATCCTTCTCTTCTTGTGAACCTATGGGAATAATACTAATAATTTCAGTATTAGATAATCAGTACAATTAGTGGAGTAAAAAAATATTTGCTTGTTCATATAATTATTATAGGTTGGCGAGGCTAGATCCAATAATCACCCTGACCTATATTGATCTACTGTGACTACTCCAAAGGTTTAAATGTCTTCTAAAGTATGTCTATAAAATATCCTGCCCAAATTCAGCAATAGCTGAATAGCTTTTCTTCTGCTGACTATCATGTGTTGTATACATGTGTTGATAAGTTGTTTCTGCCTCCCCAAAATAGCTGTAGACTGCATTAGTAGGGAATTTTAGGTTGCAACGAAACAATACAAGAGTTTAAGTTCATGGCATCAAAGTTAGTTGTTGATTTCTGGTTGTTATGGCTCTATGAGGTACATTAAATAAAATAAATCTATTTAAGCATTTTGTAGTCAAGAGCTCACCAGTATATTCTTTTTCATATGCTTTTATGTCTTCTTCTGTAATTTTTTTGAATAAATGCCTCCAGTAGACGGTCCAGTCTTTGTCTACCAAGACATTAAAGTCATCATCATCAACACTCTTTGTTTCATCGTAAACTGCTCGTTTGTTTTTGTCGCTAAGTATTTCATGAATACTTCCAAGTACTTTGAACTTTTCTGTTGCCTCTAGTTTTTGATCTTCACTAACTCGATCAGGATGTACCTTTAGCGATAGTTTGTGGTAAGCCTTTTTCACTAAAATATGAAACATGTTTAAATACACAATACAAATTATATTTGGAAGCACAGTGTAAAGATTTTACGAAATTTAGTATCAATGACTTTTTTGTTGCTTTCTTACCTTCTTTTTCACTAGCAGTTTCGGGTATTTGTAATACTTCATATAAATTTGATGAATTAAAATACTTTTCACATAAATCCAAGAGACCCATTTTGTGATTTTTTTATAATACAGTTATTAGCTCAAATAACCACGATTTCTTAAAGTTATAAGTTTTTAGTATAGTGTAGTTGAAATATTATTCTTTCCTTGCTCGGAAGTATCAGGATCTTAGAAATTGTGCATTGGTTAAAAAGTGTAACGAATATACTCCGAAATTGCGTTACCATACGTTCTCAATTTCAGTTAATGACAAAATCAAAATAATGCGCGCGCGATAACTTTTTTAAGGGATTTTATGACCTGGTAACTAAGATCTTTAAGTCATGTCTTATTTTAATTTATAATCTTATTTTTATGAAAAATGATAATATGGAGTGAAATTAAATGAAATTATATGAGATGAGATGTAATGGGATGAAATATAATCCTGGTAAAATGGTGGTCATTTACGGAGATTTTTTCAGTGGACTTTCGGAGGATCCCGAGAAGTTACGTCCAGCGGCTTTGTTTCATTTTCCCACATTTATGCACTTTCACAGATATTAAGCATTTAATAAACCACCGTTATACGGTATGTACACATTTAAACCTGAAGAAACACTAAATAGACAAAATAAAACAAATCACACAACTTCACTCCTCGCGTTCCCGCCAAAAAGTTTTTTGGTACATTTTTCCTTATTAGGAAAGGCAAGGGGATCTAAGCTCATACAGCCTTATCTGTTCTTTATAATTTCTGAAATAAATTTTCAAAAAGACCGAGGCCAGGTCTTGTATGTATATTATATCCAAATATACAGCAAGTTATATACATACACTTATTATAAACAACTTACGGTTATTATTTATATACAAATCAAGACAAATGTACAAATATAAACAATTTTTACATTAAAATATTTTTTGTTGCAAAAAATTTACGTACATATCCTTCTCGCCAAGTCTCCCCGCCAAAAAGTCCTGCGTGCGCGATCTTAAATCTTATTCACAGACTACATAGTATAGAAACATAGATTAATATATTAGTTACTGCGTAGCACAGACATACTACGTAAGACTCCGTATGATGCCCTACCTACAAGTGAACCTAGACCCAGATAAACACAGACCTAGTACTTAACTGATGAGGATGACTGGCACATTAGGCCGGTTTCTTCCCAATGCCGAGGGCCTGACAAGGCAATGTACTGTCACGACTTAAGTGTCAACCGAGCGCGGATTAGTCTCGATGCTACGCACGGGAGGTGTGGGCCAGATGATTTGCTCATCTTTCGGGTACCTAGTTCCCTCGCTTAAGGTGGCCGCGGGGCTTTTGTCAAGAGTGTCACTGCTACGGATCGCTATGGATGCGATGCGAAAAAGATAAAAAGATGCAAACAAATGGCTTAAAGTTATAAAATGTACGGTTTGCAAAATACCCGACTCTAAAATAATAGTTGAGTACTAGAATTTGAGGGTTATGAATTCGCATGGGTAGGTACCGCGCCCTGCCTATTTCTGCCGTGAAGCAGTAATGCGTTTCGGTTTGAAGGGTAGGGCAGGGCAACCGTTGTACTATAAAAACGGAGGCTTCAGAACTCCTATCTCAAGTTGGTGGTGGCATTTACTTTGTATATGTCAATGGGCTCCGTTAACCACTTAATATCAGGTGGACCATGAGCTCGTCCACCCAAGAAAGCAATAAAAAAAGATAGTCAAAGTCGCAATCCGGAGATCATCAGGATAATGGACACGAATACTACTTAAAAACAAATCTCAAATGCCAAAATTGAAAATTCTTTGGTGTCATAAAATATCTGTTATGCCTTACAGCGTAAAATTCGTCACCAAACGTTTTACATTCCACGCATGGGTGATTAAGGCCACGCGGTGTCAAGTGTTTACTGTGTGCTTAGTGTAAGTTTTTTAACGTTCTCGATAGTGTAAAAGTAATGCAGTTGGAACAGCGCCCCTAGCGGCAAACGTAGGCCAACGTTCCAACTCCATACCTACCAATTTGAGTTAACTTTTTCATGTAGAGAACGTTAAAAACTCGCACTAAGCACACAGAAATCAAAGATGGAATGAATGTTGTCACCCACCTTGAAATAATTGAAACGTGAAGTGCAAGACAGTCGTGAAGTCGTCGTGGCCTAAAGGATAAGACGTCCGGTGTATTCGTATGAAGCGATGCACCGGTGTTCGAATCCTGCAGGCGGGTACCAATTTTTCTAATGAAATACGTACTCAACAAATGTTAACGATTGACTTCCACGGTGAAGGAATAACATCGTGTAATAAAAATGAAACCCGCAAAATTATAATTTGCGTAATTACTGATGGTAGGACCTCTTGGGAGTCCACACGGGTAGGTACCACCACCCCGCCTATTTCCGCCGTGAAGCAGTAATGCGTTTCGGTTCGAAGGGTGGGGTAGCCGTTGTAACTATACTGAGACCTTAGAACTTATATCTCGAAGTGGGTGGCGCATTTACGTTGTAGATGTCTATGGGTTCCAGTAACCACTTAACATTAGGTGGGCTGTGAGCTCGTCCATCCATCTAAGCAATAAAAAAAAAAGAAGACAGTAGCAATGTATCGAAATTTAATTAATTGCATTTTCATTTATGCCTAAAACCGAGTTGACATTATTACACTAAGTTTTTTGGTATTGTAAAAATCCGTATTCGTCACATTGTTGGTGAAATAATAAAATGATTAAAATAAATTATTACCAATAACGACTGTTCTGTTTTCCGAACCTGAATGCATGGAGCAGATGTGGTCATTGATGGAGGCGGTAGTCACACTTCCAATTGCAAGCAATTGGTGAAAGTGAAAAGTGAAAAGTTGTAAAGCCTTCGGGCCACAAACAATCCTTTCAACAGAACAAAAGAGCCGTCGACCTGTAATTCTGCTACTTTAAAAAATCCAAATACTATTCTGCCTATTTTTGCTGCCAAGTAATCATGCATTTTGAATTAAATAGCGTGATGTCCACAGCTAAAATAGAACTGAGACTGTGAGGTCTATAGGCCACCAATCTAAAATCAGGTGAGCCGTGAGTTAATTTGTCCCTTTAAATAAAGTCATAAGTTACAAGAAAATATCAATTAGTACCAATGAGGTCATATAAATCGATACATTCGAATAAGAATTTCAAGCACCTGTTAAAATTGACATTCTGTGTAGTTTTTCAAAATATTTTGTTCTTATGTCCAATTTCGTTTTTGCATCCATTTCTTAAAGTATTTTTAGCATCATATCGTGTATTAGAATATAAAATTAGTGTACTATGAATACGATTGATTTAGCAGCAAGTGACAGCGAATCAACATCTTCAAAATCTATAGATAATAACGAACAACCTAAACTTGATGAAAAATATCATGATAATAAAATGAATGCCAAAGACCATAATAATGAGTGTGGAAATGATGTTACTCCACAATTGATCGATGACAGTGAAGTAAAACTCAAGGAAAGGATAGCGCAATGCAGAGATATAATAGAATCATTGAAATTAGAATTGAAAGAGGAAAAGGAGAAACAAAATGCACTTAAAGTTTCCCCTGCTCATTTTGAATCCATTTCCAATAATAGTCCCACATTTTCTTTGACTTCTAATAATCAAGAACTGGATGATCTAGAATTATCAAAAAGCATCTATAGTACGTGCATCGACAATAAAATGAACTATGGAGTTAATATCAATGAGTATGAGAAACAACTTCAAAGATATCAACACACACTAAAAATAGCTCAAACGGAAAAGAAAAACGCTATTAGGAAGCAAATGTTAACAAAAGCTTTTAAACTAAAACTTTTGGAAGTAGAAAATCAGTGTAATATTGAACTATTAAGAGTTAAGCAAAGCTTACAATGCTTGGAGCCTTTACAGATGATTGCCAGTAAATGGAAGTCTAGTTCCAATGATCTTTATGATACCAATAATTTTGAGCTTTTGCCGAGATTTCCTGAATTCGACCCTAATTCAGGTTGCGATTTTCACTCACTCAAAGACGATATCGCTAACAATTTCGATTCGGAACTTTTTGAAAATGGTACGCATACCTTAAATAGAATTTGAATGATGTTTCGTCTGAATATCAATAATCTTATTCAAGTTGAATCAAACGTGTAAATTATTTAACGTAGAATCTGAAAAAAATCAATTATAAATCAATTAAATTATCTCAATCGATGAAAACGGAGTGAAAATCTGATTGAAATAAATCAAAAATTAAGGAGGACCTCCGCAGTGGACCACACACATAGAGGCACGCGCTTCGAATGCTGGTGACTTTTTATTCTCGCTGTTTGAGGCTTGATCGTGTTCACTCGGCGCTCGTCGGCACCCGATCGGCAGGCTTTCTGACATCACACACGTTTGCCTGCGCCTGAGTAGCGCCCGTTCAGTTAGGAACTTGAACTTTATTTTAATAAGATTCCAATTTGTCAATTAGAGGGCATCGCATGAACGAAACTGGTTTGACTTCTTTACACCTTGTATCTTTATGAGTTTCATTTAAAAAGTGCTTTTAAATACGATGGGTATTGTGGGGTTGAGTGGGATTGAAGAAGCCGTGGGTTCGATTCCAAATTTTTAATGTTTTACGACTCTAATTTTAATTAGAACATTTAATTTTAAATAAATATTATATTTATTACATGTGAATATTATTTAATAATTAAAAAACAAGTATAATGTTCAAGAAAAGATACGCTTTTGCTGGAAACCATAGTTTTCGTTGTCTTTATGGAAAAAGCTCTTTTTTCTATAAATCCTATTTTTAAAGAGCAAGAGTGTTCAATTACAAAGCTGTATTAATCACGTGGAATTGTTAATACATTGATTACAAACTATTACCAAAAATGTTAAAATTATGGGTCAATATTTTTAGTTCGGCGAATACCTTACAGTCCGTGGCACCGGACTGTAAGGTATTCGCCGAACAAATCATAGGGTAAAAAAGGAAATGAAATAACTGTCAAAAAATAAATCATTAAATGATGGCAACTAATAACAAAAACATTAAAAGAAAAAAAAGTAAACACATAATGTATTATATTGTAGCCCTGGAGCATATTTTCTAACAAATATTTTTTCGACACTAAAATTGTTTTTTTTTCGAAAATCACACCATATTGACACATCTTCAAATGATGATGAAATTTCAAATTCTGTTATTTCAAAATGTCCCCAGCTTTGCCTGCATGGACCACACTATATATAACATGGGTGGTTCAATAGTGGAATGAAAAGCAGCCGATATTAATTCCCAGGGTCAACTATTTCATCCAATTATCGTTAAAATCGGTTCACTGGTTGGGTGCGAAAGCGTAAGAGACAGACAAGGACACTTTCTTATTCCCATGCAATGTGGTTTCTTACATTTGAGAGTGTAAAAATAAATTCCAAAAATATATAAATGACTAACTTTCTGCAACATCCGATTTTGGTCAAATGTAAACAAATGACAGCGACAGCGCTTCAAATTATTCTCTGTCTACCTGTAAAAATCCGTTAAGTAGGTCTGGAGACGTGCGCGAACAGGCAAACGAACAGACACAAAGAAAATAATTCTAAAAGCTGTTGGCTTATATTCTATTACTCTTCTTTAGTTACCCCCTTTCTATATTTATTAATTATCATTAATGTACCTACAAGGATAACAGATGCTACTGTTTTATTATGTGTGTTGATTTTTAAAATAATTAGAATACCATAGCAGCGTGGCCTAGAATAGCCCAATTGTTGTTTCTTACTGTTGAAGTAACAAAAGAAGTTAAGGTCCCGAGGGGGAGGGTGATGGGAGAGATGTGCTCCGCACTAAACGCTTCACTTTCCCCCCTTTGCCTTTCATGAGTTCTGTCTCATGCGAGGTTTGGACGTTGTTTGTTGAGCGACAGGAGGTTTTAGTCGGTTCGACTCCGACATGCCCCGCCCTCCATCCCCAGTGAAGGGCGGAAGTCCGGCGATTTCCTGCTGACAAAAAAAAAGAGGGATTCCCTAGAATGAGAAAAATGGTCGCTCGATTGAATATCTTCCATTTACTAGACGAAACAAACATCGATTCCTTAAAAAGGGCATTTTTATTACTATAGATAAACAGACAAATTTTTGGCCCTAGAAACCGAACGAAATACAGTTAACCTGTATCAAGTTGGTAATAGTACCCATCATTCAACGCGATCAAGTATCTTAGGCGATTTGATATACTGCTACTTGATGATTACAATTGGCAAATACCCATGGATAACAAAGTTGGAAATATTCAAACCATTTTCTTTTTTATGAACCATGATGAACGGACGAACTCTCAAGCCACTTAATGTTATATAGTTGGACGAAGCCCATAGACATGATAACGCAAAGAAACTTGACTACATCTTGCATTAAAAAATCCTGAAACATAAAAGTACAGTTTCAATTGAACTGAATTAACGGCTCTCGTGCTCATTAAATCGCAAAACATGATTCCTTCGCTATCAAACCAAGCGAGATGGAGAAACCTATTTGTTGGGATGCTCTATTAATTTTATCCTAAGCTTCTTCGAGAGTTTTCCGAATATATACTACCATTTTCGTCCCTATATTCTAAACAAAACTCGATGTACATTTAAATAGGTACGTCACTTTAAAGGATCAATTTCTCTCTAAAATACTTAACTTATCCTGTGATTACATTAACTGGCCGGGGATCCTTGTTTACTCGTCCGGGTAGATATCTTACTTGAAACTCGGCGTCGGGCGACAAGGCATCCGTATCTGTAAGCACGAACTCAAGAGCTTTATGGAAGAGCAAACAGTTTAAAACACTACACACACGTCAGGTATTGGTCCAGCACTCTTCTCCATTAGCCTACGCCGACACCTCGGGACGGTCCTTTGTCGAAAATAATATTTGTTTTCAAGCAAAGGGATGTGAGAGCCCAAGTGTTGCCGCGACACTCAATCCTAGCTAAGTACAGTTTGTTTTGGCTGCTTCAGAGGGTTGTTGGTAATTGGCCTACTGATGTTAAATATTTTAAAACTAAGGAATTTTAACAAAAAAAAAAAATTACTATTCAACTTATAAATGTTATAGGCAATCTTGTATGTTATTTTAGAAACAATTTACTGGTGAGAAAATGTATTAACTAACTAATGTATTAAGTAACTTTTAAGCCTTGTAAAGAACAAATTACGTAAGGGTAATTTATGAAGTAGTTTATTAATGGTAATGGATGAATAAACCTAGACCATTTAGACTACCACCTACGATTATGCCTTAACCTCCCTTGACCGGTGGGATCTTAGGTGTATAGGATTAGCAACGCTATCCTTCAAGCCCACTGAATTTCTCGCCGGATCTTTACTGGTGGTAGGACCTCTTGTGAGTCCGCATGGGTAGGTACCACCACCTATTCTATTTCTGCCGTGAAGCAGTAATGCGTTTCGGTTTGAAAAACTTGAGACCTTATAACTTATATCTCAAAGTGGGTGGCGCATTTACGTTGTAGATGTCTGTGGGCTCCAGCAACCACTTAACACCAAGTGGGCTGTGAGCTCGACCACCCTACTAAGCAATAAAAAAAAAAGTGAGTTGCGATTCCAATCTGGTGGTAGATTCTGCGAAGCACTGCTCTTGCTAGGGTTAGTGTTAGCAAATTCTCTCAGGTTGAACCCCGGAGCTTAGGCTACCTGCGAAAAGGTAGTAGAAAAAAAAGCTACCCTTCAAACAGTTTAGTTTAGTTTCTATTAAAATTTTAATTTTATTTTAAAAATAAATGAACCAAAAAAGCGGTTTCTGTTTCAGGAAAGAGAGTGTTTCCGAAGGCCACAGTATATTTTAACAGATCTTATTTGCCACGTACCTTCTGTCTTTGGAATAAACTCCCATATGCGATGTTTCCCGAATGCTATGAAATGAACTATACGAGGTTTAAGGAGAGCCTTTAACAGTAGGCAGCGGCTTGGATGTAACCTTAGTATTTCTGCGGCTCCGATGTCCAGAAGCGACGGTGACTACTTACCATCAGGTAGGCCGCATGTTCATCTACCAGCAACGGCAATAAAACAGGCCATCGAATGTAGTTTTACTCAAGTTACGCTGGATATGCATATGTACCTACTGTTGAAATAAGAATGAATCTATGAACGACATAAGTTATGAGTAAGTTGGGTATCTATAAACTCTGCTTTATTGGGTTAGTTCATTGTATTTGAACGACTGTATTGTGTCGGTCTGTCTGTACTATCGCCAGTGGCGCCGATGAGTGTAAGCATTGTGACGATAACCGCTAAATTATTATTTCCCATTGTCTTCTACGACGTTTCATTCATTACCTAATTAGGTCCAGGTAGTTTCAAAAACACTAACCTATGCGAAGATTTTGTCGAAGAATGTATGAACACAACAATGAAGATTTCTTATTGATTTATCGAAAAATGAAATGAAGGCTGTAGTCACAATTATTTTGAAGAAAGAAATGTTTACCTACGTACCATACACCCTCGCATTATATAAGTAGGTACTTACACTTGGTATTATGGGTTGGCTCGGCTATGTACCACCTTCCTGCCTATATCTGCCGCGAAAGATGAATGTGCTTCTTATTGCAAAGCAGTAAAACCGTTATTAAAACACAGTTGAGAGTCCGCATCTTCCAAACTTCGCCAAAAAATAGTATCGTAGTTAGGATCAACGTTTACATAACTCAAATAATGAAACTCATACAACGGTTCATACATGTCTACATACATATTTTAGATTATTTATTCCGATACTCTGTAATAAATTTATGAAATTATAGAGGCGCACAGGCTAACTACACAGATAATCCTCGTCGAACTCGTCGATTACGACGAAGAATTCGCCGAGCGAACTAACCCACAGACACGGCCCACTGAGTTTCCGGATCTTCTCAGTTAGTCGTGATTCCGATCCGGTGGTAGATTCTGCGAAGCACTGCTCTTGCTAGGGCTATTATTAGCAAATTCTCTCAGGTTGAGCATGGGAGCTCACCTGCCCGTCCAGGCGTAGCTGAAATAACCTCTAAGGCTACCAGCGAATATCAAGGAAAAATAAAATTAAAAAAGAGGAGGGTATATCCGAGTTTTGCAACTGGGTGATGGGCCCACAAAGTCGGATAATGAAAAAGATGAATCCATTTAATTACCTTAATTTTTTTTTTATTGCTTAGATGGATGGACGAGCTCACAGCCCACCTGGTGTTAAGTGGCTACCGGAGCCCATAGACATCTACAACGTAAATGCGCCACCCGCCTTGAGACATAATTTCTAAGGTCTCAGGTATAGTTACAACGGCTGCCCCACCCTTCAAACCGAAACGCATTACTGCTTCACGGCAGAAATAAGCAGGGTGGTGGTACCTACTCGCGCGGACTCTCAAGATGTCCTACCACCAGTAGGACATATAATTTTGTACTTAGTAATAGACCGTCGTTGGCTTAGCTCGTAGGGTTGGAGTTGGCCATGAGCAACGGAAACAGCAATAGGCTCTACTTACCTTCTATAGCCATAAAAATACACCGATCGTTAAAAAACCGAATGTGAAACTTCACAACTTGTTCCAAAATAAACACGGAAGTGAGTTATCGCGTCTTATCAGGTGCAGAGGATTGCAAAGCTTTATGCGTTTAGTTCGAGCACGTTGCGTTCGCACCCTTTTGTTAAACTCGCCTTACCTTGGCCGATTCACATGAATCCCTTCTGACTAACAGATAAGAAAGTGCCAATGATAATTCGAGTTTCTCTTGAAATATGTACATAGGTATACCTGTAGAAATTATGAGTTAAGTCATAATTAGCTATTAATCGTGTAGGTAATAACTTTTATAGTTTAAATTCATATTATTTTTTTTTATTTATCTATTTATTGCTTAGATTGGTGGACGAGCTCACAGCCCACCTGCTGTTAAGTGGTTACTGGAGCCCATAGACATCTACGACGTAAATGCGCCACCCACCTTGAGATATAAGTTCTAAGGTCTCAAGTATAGTTACAACGGCTGCCCCACCCTTCAAATCGAAACGCATTACTGCTTCACGGCAGAAATAGGCAGGGTGGAGGTCCCCACCCGCGCGGACTCACAAGAGGTTCTACCACCAGTAAAAGTACCACCAGTAATTACATTCATATTAACAATTTTTCACGTTTCACATACTTTTCAATATGTTGAATAAAAACAATTAAGGTGAGATACTCTCACACAAACTATTTCTCTCTACGGCCGTTGAATTATAAAATTGGTTTTCTGATGATAAAGAATCATTTTAAACTATTTCAGCTATAAGAATTTCTAAATATAGTTATAGCTTATGTGAAAGTGTTTGTTGTATTATAAATACCTAAATTAGTTGTTTAGAAACACTCACAAATATTACATTGACACCCGATATTGTGATAGGATATTTTTTTCACAAAGCTATCGTAAAAGGCAACCGATATATTAAAGAGAAAATACTTGCACAAGACTCATGTATGTACGAGTTATGAGCAGATTATACGTTGTGTTGTATCCGTACGCAGTGACCGCTGTGCAATTTGTTATGTAGATGCGCCGTTGTTTTATAGAAATCCCGAAATATGTTTTCTGTGTTATGGAAATTTGTAAGTGTTGCCTCACTAGGCCACATTTCGAAAGTCTCTTAATCTATACTTATATTATAAAGAGGAAATATTTGCTTGTTTGTTTGTATTGAATAGGCTCGGAAACTACTGAACCGATTTGAAAAATTCTTTCACTGTTTGGACGCTATACTATTCTTGAGTGACATAGGCTATAACCTTTTTTGAAAAAAAATAGGGATCCTTACTAAAACTCCAATAATGTAACCCAAGGTGTAAAAATATTCTTTACATCGCGTGCCCTGCGAAAACTATTGATGATAGAATAAAATAATGTACTACGAATTTGTAGAACACATTATTATTTACAAAAAGTGTCGCTGCAGCATATGTCTAACTATTATAGGTATGCCGCAATAAGTGTTCTTTTATTTTTTTTAAAATAAAACAACGTCAAATATCTTTGAAATTTTTGTTAAAGATCCGAGCGGAGCCGGAGCGGGCCGCTTGTATGTAATATTACAAAAAGTCACTGGTCGTAGAGCATATTGTGATCCTGCAAGGTAGGGTATCATCATTCTACTTATTTATATCTCAGTTAGGTGGCGGCATTCACGTGGTATTGTTTATAGATTGCGGTAAAATTTATTCAACTAATTCAAAGAAATTACAGAGAAAAAAGCGTATGGACATTTCATCAAATTGTATTTATTAATGTTAATTTCCATTCTAATAATCATCATCAATAAATCTTTCGTTTTAAATATTAAACATTACTTTAGAAAAACAAACTCTATGTCACGTGTATTTATTTCCATATTACATAGGGGGTAATAATTATTTTTATAATTTTTTAAATGGGTAGGTACTTCCAGTTGTCAAATTCTTTAAATCCTTATTATGTAATTTACATGTGGGTATGAGTGTACGTTAAAATAGTGCATTATAATTTTATTAATATCAATAAAATTATGAAAATAATAATTTTTAATATTATTATTCATGATTATTTCTTATCACCGACTCTCTTGACTATGTAGATATGTACCGATAGCGGCCAATAAAAACTTTTAATATCATGTTTAGTTTATTTATTTAGTACACTTTATGTATTTTATACATTTTTGAACTTATGTATACATACGGTAATGTCTATAAGTCAATCAAAGGTGATGCAGAGAAAATCACGGTAGGTGTATTTCATAAATAAATAACATACAAACTTAAACACATTCTAATATTTAAATACATGCTCAGAACACATAAGCACTAAGAACACGTGATTTCTAAATTATTCAAACGAATACACATAACAAGCCTATAATAAAAAAAAATACACATCAATTCAAGATGATTCTGCTTTTATACGCTTATGTTAAATTTATGTTTATTTTGTATAATGTTTGAACAGTTAGTGCTTTTTGGGGGTTTATCGCCAACTACATTCTACGTTACTGAATTGATTAATTAACAAGATTGATTGCGTTTGACAATTTATAACATTAATATTAGATACATTCTTCTTTTTCAATCTGTGCATCAATCTACCCATTTCAAAATGCAGGTGCTCTGTAAATTGTTTAAAAATTTATCATCTACAGATACCAGTAGGATTTTTTATCATTTAGTAAAATCGAAATAAAAATGGCTTATAATATCTTAAGCACATTCATATGTAAATCTCAATTTTTTACTTATATACCTCAATTACATAAATGTGTCATTTCGTGAATGAGATAACCGTGCTTGACACAAACTAGGGTAGTTGATTATGTATATTGTATTGCGTCCTTGTTAGGTTAATAGGATTTCCCCAGGGAGCGCGTCATCGCTTAATGTGCTGTGGGTGGCGAGTTATAAGTGAAGTGGGAGATTAACGGTGGTGGGAATGCTTGCTCATGGGTGTCGGGCGGCAAGCAAGGGATGCAAGTTCAGGCTCGGTGGTGGACGTGCAGTTGAGTCGGGTTGTGGCAGTTGCTCTCAGTGTCGCTCAAGTCGCGGCGCGCGGTGGTCGTGCGTCGAGCGCGTGTGGAGTGATGTCTGCGAGATGAGGCTCTCGCTGGTGCTTCTGTGGTTGGGTGCGGCGGCGGCATGCGGCCCGGGCCGCGGTTTCAACCGTCGCCACGGACCGCGCCGCATCACCCCCCTTGTCTTTGGCCAGCACGATCCGAATGTTAGCGAAAATAAGAACACCGCCAGTGGTCCTCCCGAGGGCCGCATCACCAGAGATGACGAGAGATTTAAAGACTTAGTGCCTAATTATAATCCGGATATAGACTTTAGGGACGACGAAGGCACTGGCGCTGATCGTCTAATGACTCAGGTAAGTAATTTATTTAAAAATTATAGTTGCATCATTTACAAATTTTAGATATTTGAAGTCGTCGTGGCCTAACGGATAAGACGTCCGATGCATTCGTGTTGAAGCGATGCACCGGTGTTCGAATCCCGCAGGCGGGTACCAATTTTTCTAATGAAATACGTATTCAACAAATGTTCACGATTGACTTCCACGGTGAAGGAATAACATCGTGTAATAAAAATGAAACCCGCAAAATTATAATTTGCGTAATTACTGGTGGTAGGACCTCTTGTGAGTCCGCACGGGTAGGTACCACCGCCCCGCCTATTTCTGCCGTGAAGCAGTAATGCGTTTCGGTTTGAAGGGTGGGGCAGCCGTTGTGACTGTACTGAGACCTTAGAACTATATCTCAAGGTGTGTGGCGCATTTACGTTGTAGATGTCTATGGGCTCCAGTAACCACTTAACATCAGGTGGGCTGTGAGCTCGTCCACACAACTAAGCAATAAAAAAAAAAAAAAAAAAAAAAAAAAAAAAAAAAAAAAAAAAAAAAAAAAAAAAAAAAATATCAAATAAATTAAGGAAATGCTACTATAACATAGATAGACGATACCCGCCACAAAAGTTCCCTTCGTTTTAAAGTAGATTTTGAATTATATACGAAGACGTACCTACAGAGGACGTCATGGCCCGTTACGGCTTTTAAGATTTGAAAACAACAGTTCTGATGAAGCATACGCTGTTTTGAAAACATCTCCTGGAGTGCAGAATGACAATTGTCGATGTAAACATTACGCTCGAGGAACAATGGGAACAAATTGCGGGCGTTACGGTAGCTTCGTAGCGAGTGTGCCGATTGTAGCACTGCAATTACGCAGGCTTTGTCAACAAATATTTTGACTCTGTGACTAATGGATGAATGATGGATTCTTTTCAATTTCGATGTCAATTTCGGTGAATATATGACCACCATAAAAGTTGGTGTCGAAGGCATTGAGTATCTTGCGTTGTCATTGTTGCTTTGTGTTAACGTAAAAACAACTAACTGGTAAACTATTTTATATGTATGTTATTTCATATGGTATTATTTGAGTAAATATATTACATATAATAATGGATAAAGTATTTAATTTGTTTTGAATAACGTATTTGTAATAGTAATGAAATCATTACAACTCGATTGATTTAGTATAAGTATGTGAACTTTTTTCCATAGTAAGTCATTCAGTTTAAAATATGAAACTATTCGTAAGACAATCATAGCCCGCTGTGTAATGGAATGTTCATGAAGGAATTTACGATGTTGCAGATAATTATTATCAATTACATATATAGTACGAAAACAGCACTATAACACAGTTAATAGTGGTAATAGAAGTCGTCGTGGTCTAAAGGATAAGACGTCCGGTGCATTCATATGTAGCGATGCACCGGTGTTCAAATCCCGCAGGCGGGTACCAATTTTTCTAATGAAATACGTACTTAACAAATGTTCACGATTGACTTCCACGGTGAAGGAATAACATAGTGTAATAAAAATAAAACCCGCAAAATTATAAATTGCGTAATTACTGGTGGTAGGACCTCTTGTGAGTCCGCACTGGTAGGTACCACCTTCCTGTCTATTTCAGCCGTGAAGCAGTAATGCGTTTCAGTTTGAAGGGTGGGGCAGCCGTTGTAACTGTACTGAGACCTTAGAACTTATATCTCAAGGTGCGTGGCGCATTTACGTTGTAGATGTCTATGGGCTCCAGTTACCACTTAACACCAGGTGGGCTGTGAGCTCGTCCACTCAACTAAGCAATAAAAAATAATAATAATAGAGAAATGTTAAATTTGCAAAAAATGTGGGTCTCGAAAAATTTCCGGCGATTTTTTTGAAATGACGAAATGAGTCAAAGCGTAAAAGTTTTTTTTTTTGAAAAATTTATTGAATGCTATATGTGGTAGAGAATCTTCATGTTTACTTTCATAAACATAATCTTTAAGTTCGTAACGAGAATACGGCTTCACTAATGAACGAAAAATATTTACATTAAATAAACGGCAATCGATGGCAAATAAAAAATATTTTATGGTCGGCACCTTCAAAGAATTGCGCAGTTTAAATGCCAATGAATACGTACTTATAATTAATTAAATAAGACAATATTAAGTACGTGTGCAAGGAATTCCAGAATTTCGCGCATACGATTTGTTCACTTATTCCATTAGGCCGCGAACGCAATGTTAACCAGTTTTACACCTATTTATCACTACTATTAATTTTCAGGCTAAGATATTTCCCTTGTAAATAAAAAGGATTCAGTCACAAAGGTGTTATTTTGTAAAAATAAACAGACAGTGTACATTGCAATACATTTTCATATATTATATTATCATATATACTTTATAGGGTATTGTTGCATTTCTTATTTATTTTCTGCACAAAATATTTATTTCTAGAATTATGGTACATATAGCTTCATATAAAATTTTAAAATATTACTTTTAAATAGGTCATTAATGGTTATTTATGTGCTTCACCAGTTCTCAAAGTGTAAACCAATCTATAAATTTTCCGAGTAATTTGAGTTTGTACAAAAAAGAGGAACTAAACGAAAATTAACTACAACATATTATCCATAAATTTGCGTCAGTAGCTTTAAAAAAAAATTATATAATAATATTTTGAAACCACATTTCGACTCTTCCAACTATGATGACAAACTTTTCTTGTCCTATTTACGTTTATTAAGGTCGGTCAATGTCAAATGATAGTAGTCGTCTGTCCGTAAAATGTTTGTATTATAAGCTCGGTACGTACCGTCATCCTGATCTATCTACGCATCTAACTATGTGGCAGAAATTAAAGTAGAAATGTTTTCGAAGAGACCAGCTATGTCGAGACCAAAAAATATAGTCTAAAAAATATCAAATGTTTAATTTCAGTGGATACATAAATATTATTATGTTTTTACCTTATAGTTGAAGTAGAAATATAATAATACATATATAAACGTAATAAGAGCTAAAGAAAATAAATTACGATTGAATTTATATGATAGCAATATATTAAATGCTTGGTAAAGGAAATATATTTTTTGTTATAGTTGGGAATTGTCTATGACTCGTTAATAGATCCCTACTACGATTTAGGTCACTTAGTAATAAGATATCGTCCCATTATAGGTCAATCATATTGCCATTCGATTACTTGCATGGGGTCTTTTATGACGTTGATACTCGATATTACAGTGGTCTATAGGTTATTAATTTTGAGTAGCTAACTCTTGTTCACATACTGTGGCATTTTATTCAATTTTTATTTTTTTGATCTATATGTAATTTTTCATTTAAATATGTAGGTATTGTAACCGGTAAATTGTTACTTAAATAAGAATGAAACTAGATATAATGCTGCAAGAAAATCTTATAGTTATATTAGTATAGTTATACTTTTCTTATTCCATTTCGAACAGCCCGATAATTGATAACAAAATTGTAGAAAATGTCCCAAATATACATCTAAACAGCCCTCTCTTCGTTGAGAAATCGAATTCGACATGTTTATTGAAGCTGCTATTTCTGATCACGTCAGGTTGATGCAATGTCAATCTGTTGTAAGTTACAATCATAACGAAACCGTCCGGTTTAATTTCGCTTCGAGAACAAAGTGTATTTGTTTACAAATTGGAACCTAAACTTCATTTCGTATCGTGAGTTTTGTCTTACGCAAACCCAAATCCGAAAATAATCATTACGCTTAAGGATGCTAGGAATCGTTCGGATCACACTCACTAGAATTGGGCATCTACGTTAAACTATTGAAACGCACCGGTGGATTACGTATTTTAATGCCTGTGTGATTTTATGTTGAATTAAAAGGAATGTATTGCATAGGTCCAGAAAATAATTGATTGGGGTACGCACAGACAATCAGATTCACATATATATGTGTGTAGAAGAAAGGTCGGCGCGAATCCGCCGTCGGTGATGTTATGTGCCCGCCGGAGGCTGCACATAGTCGGGGCGCAGCCGCCTTGCTTGCATTCGTAAAAATCTCCAAACCGGTTCGATGAGCCTCCATTACTTTCTTTCTGCTCCTACAGTGCCTCCCATTTAACTCGGGACCACTTTTTATCAGGAATCGGTATCTCCGTCTAATAGTATTATTTATTTCCCATAAATAAAAGGGAATATAAGTAAAGTTAAGGCGCACGGGAAGCGGTATGTTACTCGCCAGATGCGTCGGAGATAAATGTCGTCTATGCTCTTGCTCTTTCCGTTCGTCGCGACATTGCGTAATGTGCCCGGTGACAGAACACAATTTATTCAGTTTCAAGCAACTTGTAATATTTATTTACAAACAATTGTACCTATTTACATTACATGTTTGACATGAAAAAGAAACATTGAGGCTATTCGTCTAACAACTTTGTAATCCTGGTCGATGCAGTGCACACTACATGGAGAGCTGGATGAACATTACAATGGAATCGCGGTGTATTTCTTACTAAATTGGAATAACATTTCATAGCCACCTGTTTCCTGAGTTAAAGTGAAAATACTTCACATATTCGTTTGTGAAACAGCTTTTCTGTTGATGGCTGCTGTTAGCCGCAGAATAGACGTGCAACCACATCACTCGCTTCTCTGATTCCAATCGAAATTACTTACCGGTTTATGTAGGTTTTTATTTAATATTTTATATCCTTGGACGCGAATGGAGCTGGAGATTGGAAGGGGTGCGACAGATGTGCGGGGGTTGAGGGACATAAATATCTCGGTGATTTATGGGCGAGGCGGTCGCGGGATAGGTCAGCATTATTCAATTTCGTATTTGAGGCTCGGGTTACAATGAGCTTTTACTGCGGTGCGCGAGCGCAGATAGCGTAGCAATCGCGACCGACACACTCCCTTTTGTTATCTGCTTTTTAAGCCCCATTGTAATCTCCAGATTAGCTTTTTGTTTAACGTTCTATAAAATTTGATTTTAAGCTCCAACTTGTATGCTATGTTTATTTTACTGTCGTTAAAATT